CCCTGCGCCCGGCCCCCGGCCCAGTCCTAAGTGCAGGACTCTGCATTTGTCCTTGTTGAACCTCATCAGGTTTTTTTTGGCCCAATCCTCTAATTTGTCTAGGTCCCTCTGTATCCGATCCCTACCCTCTAGTGTATCTACTATGCCTCCTAGTTTAGTGTCATCTGCAAACTTGCTGAGAGTGCAGTCCACACCATCCTCCAGATCATTAATAAAGATATTAAACAAAACCGGCCCCAGGACCGACCCTTGGGGCACTCCGCTTGAAACTGGCTGCCAACTAGACATGACTTTGACTGAGCCTGACCCACTGCACAGGGACTAATAACTTTGAGAGCCTCAGATGCAAAGTGATAGAGAGGGGCAGGGCTGGGGCATGGTTATTTCATTGATTTTTTTTCCATAGAAAACTGACATTCCCCAAAACTCTGAAATAACAGGGACAAAATATTTAAACCTGGTCTCTGAATTGGCATCCAAAATGTAGCCTGCCCTGGGATGTTTTCATATGCTGGGCATGTGCACATGGATGCCATGTGCACACTCTGATGGAGGCGAGAGGGATGCATGCAAAGAGTTGTGGGTGCAGAGTTGTGGGTGCACATGCAAAGGGCGATTCTGGATCAACAAGGTAAAAACATGACTAAGCATATTCCCCAGTGTCACAGAGTTTAGAATTGCTCCAGCCGCTGTTCTCACCCTGGCAAGCTGCAGAGTAACAGCCATATTTTGCTCCAGATCACCCAGTCCTCCCAGGGGACAGGGAAAGGACAGAGCTGCTGGTGGGTTTGGTCTGGGTATAGGTGGGGTGGGGAATGCAGAAAGGTAGGAGCCCAGCAAGTGAAATCCCTTCTGAACCTGCTTTAATGTGGGGCATCAGTTGTAGGGAGAACTCCAGCAGGAGGGGGTGGAAATTCCCCTATGAGAGGTAACAAACGACTGACCACGCAGACATCAGAGGCGCACAGCCAGCGCATTCAAGTCACTCTGGAAAGTTGGGAACTGGGCTTGAATATCACAAGGTTTAAAAATACACTTTGTGGGGAGGGGTGATTTTATTTATCTTCTGGTGGTTAAGCCTGCGGGGGGAAGCGACCTGCCCCCTTCGTGAGAGAGAGAGAGAGAGAGAGAGATAGTGTGTGTGTGCATATTGCATCACAAGAGCAAAACTCCACCTGCCACAGTGCACATGCAAAATTGCAGCCTCCCTCCTCACAGGGAGATTCCACTCACTGACTCTCCCCTACTCCTGGGATAGGGGGAGCTGCCACTCTGTGTCCAGTTCCACACCCTCCCTCATCACAGCCCTGTCACCAGTCTCTTCTCCCCTGATCCTCACAGTCTCCTCTTCACACCTGCCCCTCTAGTCACCCACCATTCCCTTTACACCTTCTGTGTACCTCTCACATCAGCCACCCCACATGCCCCTGTGCTCCCTATCTGCAAACCCCCACAGCTTCCTACCCTGCACCCCACATTCCCCTGCACTCCCTAATCCATGCCATTCCCCATAACTATTGTCAGGCTCAGTCTGGTCCCCACAAATCCCCCTGCACTGCTCTCAGCCTCCCTCTATCCCCTCCCACATACTCCTATGGGCCTCTGTTTCCCTCTTGTCCCCATGTGCCTTGCATCATCCCTCATTCTCCCTGCTGCCCCTCACTCATTACCCTCTTCTGTCTGTCTCCTGCTCCCCTCCCAGGATCTCACTCACCTCCTCCCCCCTCAGTCTGCCCCCTGGACATGGACGACCCTGCGCACTGCCCCACAATCCACCTCTTGCCCCCTCCACCCTCACTAATTCCCCTGCACCCTCCTCAGTCTCGCTCTAGCTTCCCGTGTCTCCTTTTCTATGCATGGTGTCTCCTTGTCAGAGGATGTTGTGAAGGCCAAGACTATAGCAGGGTTCAAACAAGAACTAGATAAATTCATGGAGGATAGGTCCATGCCAGGATGGGCAGGGATGGTGTCCCTAGCCTCTGTTTGCCAGAAGCTGGGAATGAGCAACAGAGGATGGATCACTTGATGATTACCTGTTCTGTTCATTCCCTCTGGGGCACCTGGCATTGGCCACTGTCGGTAGACAGGATACTGGGCTAGATGGACCGTTGGTCTGACCCAGTATAAACCATTCTTATGTTCTTATATATCCAGCCAACTAACCACAGGGCCCCAGCCATATTCCCTGAGGAGAGCATAGCTTCAACCACACTGAAAACAATAGGAGCTGGTGACCATTACTAGGAGCTGCCTTACTTCCACATGCCTGGAAGATCTGTAGGGAAATGGCGGCCATCTGGAATAATAATGAATAATTATTGAATGAACAATAATAGTCCTCAACTCTACTACGGGAACAGCCATAGGTATTACTAAGGTGGCTCCCCAAAATGCCAGCCTTTTCCTAGAAAAATTTCTAGACAAATGAACCATGAAACCAATGATGTACCTGAGATATATCAATGATATTTTCATCCTATGGACAGATCACCTCAGCTCCCTCACAGATTTCCACCACAACTTCAACAACCATCACCCATCCATTAAACTCTCTCTGGAATACTTCTACACTAGCATCAACTTCCTGGACAGCAATCAGCTGCAATTATGGAACCTACAGACAGCAATATACAAGAAACCCACAAATCACCACACATACCTTCACAGATCCAATAATTGCCCCAAACATATCAAGAAATCAGTTATCTACAGCCAGGCACTCAGATGCCACAGATTATGCTCTGAGGAAAAAGTCCAGATACATACCTTAACACGCTTAAAACCACCTTTACCAAACAAGGACACTCCACCAAAGAAGATGGCTCCATCAATGACTATTAGTCTGGATGGGCAGACCAGAACACACCAACTCAAAGCAGCACCAGACCCTGCCAGAACAACAGATGGAAAACCTGCAGACATATCTCCACTGCTACAATGATCAACACCCCCCAGAACACACCTTTCAAGATCCATGGATCCTACATATGCCCATCATGACATGGGGTGTACCTCACCCAGTGCACTAAATGCCCCAGTAACCACTATGTGGTTGAAACCAGACAATCTCTACGCTCTCGAATGAACTGACACATAAAAATGGGAAAAAGACAAAAACGCTCTATCACCTGCGGGTGAGCACTTTTCACAAAATGATCACTCTGTATGTGAACTCTCAGTCCTCATCCTCAAAAGAAACCTGCTCCATACCTTCAAAAGACGAACCTGGAGGCTTAAATTCATAACTTTGCTAGACTCTAAAAATCATGGACTGAATAGAGACACTGATTTTATGGCTTATGGTTTTATTACAACAATCTGTAACTCTCTAACCCCCTTTTTGTTCTATGACTACTACAGTGGTGTTAACAGGCTACTTCACCTTGAATGGGGCTTTGTAAGCAATCTGTTCCACTTTGCATTTAGCTGTGACACCCTGATTTTAGTACTTTTTCCCAGACCTGGAGAAGAGCTCTGTGTAAGCTCGAAAGCTTGTCTCTCTCCCCAACAGAAGTTGAACCGATAAAAGATATCACCCTTGTCTCTCTTGAATAAGGATGGCTTGACTACAGCATTTCTGAAGGTAATTGGAGATGAACAAGGGAAAACAAGTGAGTTCTGCGTCAGGAATTGTGAGATCATGGGAAACTTCTAAAACTCCAGACTAAATATCATGAGATTCATGATGCATTCAGTAGAGTCGGCAGCTCTTGGGCATCAGGTTTTCACCTCACACCCAGTATGTTTTCAATTAAAGCGTCTGGAAATTTTCCACCTCTCCCCAGGAAAGTTCCCTGTTCTCTGTGGGGAGGGGGATTTTCCAGCCCTCTCCTGGAGTGAGCTGGTGGGATTGTGACTGGGGCAACAGGAAATGAATGAGGATCTCTTGCTATTTCAGGGGCCAGTGACCTTCAAGAAGGAGACTCATCGTGCAGGAGAATTGTGAGAATGTGACCTCACTGGGTAAGGATTCCTGTACCCTTAGGAATTAGAAGCTGGGGGTGGGGGTGTCTCTGAGGCACCTGGGTTGGCTTCTGCTCAGGGTTCTTCCCTGCTCCCTTATATTTCAGGGGGATCAGCCCCATCACCCTCAGAATCCATATGACCACTCCACACCCTCTTCCAAGGGAGAGGAGATTCAGAGACACATTGGAGATGCTAGTCCATCCCCAGAACTTCCAATGGAGAGGAAAAGTTGCATGTTCCTCTCTGTATTATTAAACATGGGCGCACAGTGTACCTCCCTACAGAGAACTGGGTCCATGCCTCGAGAGGGCTTTGCTCTCACAATATTAGAAAGGAGTAAGAGATGGTCCAATTCCTAAGCCAGAGTCATAAGACGCCCCAATTTATGGAGATCTGGGGATCTCCTTCCGCAGGAATCACATGCCACTATAAACACCCGACCTCCTCCAAAGGATCTCCAAGACCATTTTTCAATCCATTTGGTTTATACAAAGGCACTATCTGGCACATCTGGAAACAGCTGTGCCTGAGAATAACTGTAAAACCCTAGTCTCAGCCTCAGCTGTTTTCTTTCCCCTGAGCTGGGTTTCCAGTTCCCACAGCCAACATGATCTCCTAGCTGGAAATGGGGGAAGAGCCATGAGTCCTAGCTCACCAGGGGTCCATGGAAAGAGAGATCCTGAGAGGTGCCGGTCAGCTGAGGAATTGTTTGAACAGACGCAGAAATCATCCAGCCTTGGCATAAACATCTGGGATTCTCACACAGGCCCCATAAACTCCCCCATTTCTACCTCATCTCAACCTAGTCAAGATTATGCCCATGAGGTGTCATATCTTCCTGGCAGATGTTACTCATGGCTTTCCTCCCACCCTGACCAACATCTGGCAGCAGCTCATGTCTCTCTGAATGTTCAGATAGGATGAAGAGGCAGAATTGGTCCTCTCTTCTCTCTCTGTTTGGAGGAAGGTCTTGGGATTCGGATTCTACTCCTGAGTTTTTGATCTCCCCAGAAGTTATTTGGGTTTTGTTTTCCCCATTCTCATCCCCTTTCTCAGGTACCCTTTCCCCCTGGCACAGGGACTGACTCCTGTCTGGATTCTCTCTCTGTCCCAGCAGGTGATGTGATGGTGAGTGAGAACGAGGAAGAGAGTCCTCAGCAGAAAAGTCTTGAGCAAGTGGAACCGCGTGGGATATTGCTGGGAAGACCCGAAGAGGGTATTTTCCAAAGTTCTGAGCTGGGAGAATCCTGTGAGACTCAATACAGGCCAGAGGGGCAGCTGGGAAACCCCCCAGGAGATGGACAGGGAAAATCCAGTCACCATGGGGGAGATTTGGAGGACCACAATGGGACCACAATGCAGCTGAGAATCAGCACTAAAGAGAAACGGCATGAATGTGCTGAGTGCGGGAAAAGCTTCAACCAGAGATCAAACCTGATTGTACATCAGAGAGTTCACACAGGAGAGAGACCTTATAGCTGCCCTGACTGCAGGAAAAGCTTTAAGCAGAGTTCAGACCTTCTTCGACATCAAAGAATTCACACAGGAGAGAGGCCCTACCGATGTCCCATCTGTGGGAAAAGCTTCAATCAGAGCTCAGAACTTAGTAAACATCAGAGAACCCACACGGGAGAGAAACCCTATAAGTGCCCTGAGTGCGGGAAAAACTTCAATCAGAGCTCAGAACTTGTTAAACATCAGAGAATTCACACAGGAGAGAGACCCTATAGGTGCTTGGACTGTGGAGAAACCTTTAGCCAGAGCTCACACCTTATTGTGCATCAGAGAATCCACACGGGAGAGAGACCCTATAAGTGCCCCAAGTGTGGAGAAAGTTTCAGTGTGAGATCAGTCCTTACTACACATCAAAGGATCCATACAGGAGAGAAACCCTATAAATGCCCCGTCTGTGAAGAAAGATTCAGTCAGGTCTCAGCCCTTATTACACATGAGAGAATCCACTCCGGAGAGAGACCCTATAAATGCCCGGACTGCGGGAAAAGCTTCACGCAGAGCTCAGCCCTAATTAGACATCAGAGAACCCACATGGGAGAGACACCCTATAAATGCCTAGACTGTGGGAAAAGCTTCAAGGCGAAGGTCTCTCTAATGTCCCACCAGAAACTGCACACAGGATAGAAGGTGTCGGGAGCTTTCCCTGCAGGGCAATGGGTCTGTGCCCTCCTGAAGCAAAGCATAAATGTGCTTCCTTTGAGGATGATCTGGGTAGGGACAGCAGACGGGTGGATGGTTGGAGTTTCTATGGGGGGTGGTTGGCGGAGCCCGGAGGAGGAGGAAATGCTGGGCACTGGGGAGATGAGTCATTTCAGGGTTCGAGGGGAGCAAGTGGTGGGATCAATGGGGAGATGTTTCTGTGGGTTCCACACACACTTTCCAGTGTAGGGAAGAAGTAAAAATGCCCCATTATCATTTGTGTCTGAGTCATCTCTGCGGCTTCTAGGGCACCTTGAGGCAGGGACAGGGGAATGATATTCAGGGAAGCAGCAAGGGGCCCTGCATGGCTGTAGTTATACAGCAGGAAGAGCTGCCGATCTGAAGTGACAGAATGTCTGAGCTAGGATGACCAGACAGCAAGTGTAAAAAATCGGGACAGGGGGTGGGAGGGTAATAGGTGCCTGTATACAAAAAAGCCCCCCAAATTGGGACTGTCCCTTTAAAATTGGGACATCTGGTCACCCTAGTCAGAGTGATGCTCAGTGTATTGGCCAGCTCTGCAGATGCAGGAAGCTGGCTGGGGACTGGGGAATTCACGGTGGAGATTCCCCAGAGAGGTGGGGTCCTTGGGGGATTGCACTGTTCCCCTGAGGGAGGTGTGGTGTAATAGCGAGAGCAGGGGGAATTTGGATGCAGGAATCCTGGAGATGGGGCTGATGTCTAGAGGTTAGACTGGGGTGAAGGTGGCAGTCAGGTTTCCAGGGTTGGGTAACCAGCTCTGCTAATGTCTCCTGTGCAGTCACTTCCCTCCCCTTCCTCCCATCTCTACAATGGAAATAACAATTACCCACCTCCCTCAGAAGTGGAATTACTGTGTATTCAGTGGCTCAGGAGGACAGAAGCACTAGGGGAGGGAAAGTTTCATTATCATTATTACTATTAGTTTTCCAAGACTGGGGTTTTCTTTTCAGTTTCAGTAGGGTTACCATATTTTGAGCCTCCAAAAGGAGGACACTCCACAGGCCCCGGCCCAGCCCCCAGCCCCGTCCACGCCCCAACTCTGCCCCTTCTCCAAAGTCCCCGCCCCAACTCCGCCCCCTCCCCTGCTTTCCGCGAACATTTGATTCGCGGGAAGCCTGAAGCAGGTAAGAGGGGTGTGGGGGGAGGAGGCGCGGCCCAATCTGGCCCCCCCGGCGTCTCCATCCTGGGTCGGCTCGGGCCCTGGGGTGCCGGCCCCGGGCCTGGCCCCCGGCC